TGCTAGCTCAGTACTGTTCTAGTGGCAGCCTGTGGTAGTGGGGGTTACCAGCTTCTTGTCCAGCAACCAGCCTCCAACGGGAACTGGCTAGACCTTGTCAAAGGATTCAGGACATGCAGTCCTTTTCAGGAGAATTGGGAAGACTTTGTTTCCTTCCGTCAACAAATTACCTTTTGGCAGCGAGTCAGCGCTGAGCGCTGTTACACACGGCAAGTTGACAGATAAGGATTCGAATCCCAAGATTGAGGACAGACTGCTTGCCTTTGCTGTGTGCAGCCTGGTACTCTATTGAGGTCAGGAGCATGGTTGGTGGCCCCATGTGAGGCAGACAAGTGTTGCCATCCTTATAGAATAACCTCGAATCTTGGAGCTGTGAGAAGGGTAGGCAAGAGTATAAACAGGGAGGGACTTCTGAAGGTTCGTAGGGAAAAGTTATGGAAAGATAATGGAATTTTTCTAAGAAAATTTTAAGCCCCCCCTCCAAAAGTATATCCACAAGAGCCCTGGTGGTGTAGTGGTTATGCATTGGGCTGTGATCCTCAAGGTCAGCAGTTCAAAACTACCAGCCGCTCTGTGGGAGAAAAACAAGCTTTTCTATTCCCATAAAGAGTTCCAGTCTCAGAAACCCCAGGGGCAGTTTTATCCTGCCCCAGAGGATCACTATGAGTAGGCATTGACTCAATGACAGTGAGTTTGGGTTTGGAAAGTAGGCCCACATAACACACTGCGACCACCAAACAAACAACAACTTGAGTTTGAACTTAAAGCAATTTAAAAAAATCATTTTATTGGGGGCTCGTACAACCCTTATCACAATCCATACATCCATCCATTCTGTCAAGCACATTTATACATGGGTTGCCGTCATCATTCTCAAAATGCTTTCTTTCTACTTGAGCCCTTGGTATCAGCTCTTCATTCCCCCCTTCCCCGCTCCCCCCTCCCTCATGAACACTTGATAATTTAGAAATGATTATTATTTAATTTTTTTAACATTGTGTGAAGCAAAATATCTCTGCTGGAGGACTCACTGCTCCAGCAGGGCAGGAAAAAGTGATCCCCCATGGTTGTGGAGTTTTCTTGCTGTTGCATGCGATGCCTTAAATCACACCACCAGACTCAAAGCACCCCCCCCCCCAACCCAAAGGCAGAGAAAAGTGACGTGTGACCAGCAACATGAAGTTGCTTGATGTGCACCGTAGACAGCTCTGCTGCGGTTGCTGCCATTTCCAGATCAGTAGATCCAGCCCAAGGACCATTGTTTAAAAAAGAAAAGGAAATTTGTGAAGCTGCTGCTGCAGCTACACCACTAGACACAAAAAGCTTGCACTTTGTGCAAAATACCTTGTCGTCACATTCAAAGATGCAGATTTATGTGGAGGCAGTATATAATCACTCCTTGCCATCGAGTCAATGCTGACTCCTAGCGACCCTATAGGATAGGGTAGAACTGCCCCTGTGGGTTTCTGAGGCTATAACGCTTTACAGGAGGAGAAATCCTCATCTTTCTCCTGAGGAGCAGCTGGTGGTTTTGAACTGCCAATCTTGAGGTTAACCCAGTGCATAACCAGTACACCACCAAGGCCCTAGCAGTATATAATACACGTGGCAAACTATATGTTCATAGACGGTTTATGTTATTGGTAAGGTCAACAGTTTGTTATTATTAGCTTAGGGGGAGTCAAAAGTTATACATTGAATTTTTACTTTGTTGGGGTATGGTCAGTACCCTTAACCACCAAGTTGTTCAAGGATCAACTATACTTTTAACTACCTTTGAGGAGTGGGGGCAAATTAAGCCAAAAACTACTGAACTTTTCTAAACATATACCATACCTCCCAAATTGATTTGACCTACCACCCCCTTTTCAAAAAAAATAGTAACTCAGCACCTTCCTGGCAATGAAACAATTTTTGTACCATAGCCTATAATCCAGGATAAAGCATAGGTATCTGCTTTTGTAGTCCTCTTGGGTTTTTGTCCAGTACCCATGAGGGGGCAGTAACCTTTACTTTGGGAAATACTCATCTACACTTGGTTTTCTCAGTCTGAAAAGCAGGCCAAAATAGAACAAACATTATCCGTGTTATGTATTTTAAAAATCATGTTATGATGTCTGGATTTAGGATCTCTTGGCACCCTGATGGTGTGGTGGGTTATTCACTGGGCTGCTAACCACCAGTCAACCCCTCCATAGGGGAAAGACGAGGCTTTCTCCTCCCGTGAAACCCACAGGGGTAGTTCGACTTTGTCCTATGAGTCGGAATCGACTCACTGGATGGCAAGGAGTTGGGTTTGGGGAGTGGGATAGCCAGAAGTTTTTGAAACATTATGTTCTGGGAATTCATTTGGGATGGAAGTGGGGCACAAAACCCACTTAACTAAATGAACACAGGCAGTGACCTAAACAAAAATACAAAACAAAACTCCTAGTATTCAACCTCATGGAACTTTTTCTGACCAGCTTAATTTTTCTGTGTTCTGCCACTTGCGCGTTTCTGCTGCTCCTTCATCACATATGTGGACTTCTGGAAATCCAAGGCTTGCCCAGATTGAGGTCAACTTCTCCTTCCTTCTGCATTGTCTTTGCGTGCCCTTTGGTGCTTCCCATTATAAACCATTGTCTTTCATGTGGTGCAGAAGGGTTCTTTCTATAGCAGGTAGGAGAAGAGAACAGTCAGGGAAATAACTTTTCCTGCTCTAAAAGTGTATAGGTCTCTCGTTATGATCTGTGTTCCAGAAATCCAAATATGCCTCGAGTGAACTTTTGCTAACTCACTTGGCCATAAAACCTGACTTTATCCCACAGAGTGGGGTGGGTCATAGAAGTAGTGACGAATTTGCCCCTTCATGTGACCGGTGTTACTCAACCATCAGCCACTCTTGGAGAAAGATAATGCTCTCTACTCTCATAAACAGAGCCAGTCTTGGAAACCCGCTGGGCCGGGTCTACCTTGCCCTATAGGGTCACTGTGAGTCAGAATTGACTTGACGACAGTGAGTTTGAGGTAGGTGGTTTTTTGGGGTTTTTTGAGGCACTATATACTTAGATTGGCCAGACTGTTATGAACGCTCTTAACACACAGATTCTCGGTAAGAAGATTGCATACCTGTGTTGGGGGGCTCATGTTTACCCCTCTGCTCAGTGCACTTGTGAAATCTCCCTCCATGCACATGGGCTGCCCTTCCCAGTGCCCAACCTATCAGTCCCGACTGAAAGGGATCTATCAACCTCGAGCCCATTGGGTCTCTGAGTGTGAGCCCCAGGCCAGCAGCAGCACCACCTGAGAAATTGTGCGAGCTGCACATGCTTGAGCTCCACCCCAAATCAATGGAGCCACTGGGAGGTGGGACCTGGCTGGGTGGGTTTTACCAGGCCCTCCAGGTGATTTAAGCTCAAGTCTGAGAACTGCTTTAGATTGGGTTGACAAGCGAGCTGTGGCCAACAAGTCGAGTAGTGAGGGTGCTATCCAGTATGAAAGGGAGCTGCTGGTGAGTATGTAAGCACAGCAAAGTCCCTGTGTACCAGTACCCCTGAGTCCACTGCGTTTTTGTATCCCCAGTAAGTTGAGAGTGGTTTTTCTTCTTTTTCTTTTAAGAATGGAAAGAAATCAAAAATAGTATTTTGTGACACACAGCCATTATATAAAGTTCAGCTTTCAATATTTGTGAGTAAAGTTACATTGGCATACAAACACGCTCATTCATTGATAGCATCTTTATGGTTGCTTTAGGCAGCCTGGTGGTGCATTGGCTACAGCACTTGTCTGCTGATCAAAAGGGCAATGATTTGAACCCACCAAATGGCACTGTGGTTACACATTGGGCTGCTGGTTACACATGGTCAGCCGTTTGAAACCACCAGCCACTCCTCAGGAGAAAGATGGGACTTTCTACTCCCATAGAGAGGTACAGTCTTGGAAAGGTACCCGTTCTACTTTGCTCTCTAAGGTCACTATGAGTCGGCAGCGACTCATTGGCAGTGAGAATAAGTGACTCCCCGGGAGAAAGGTGGGGTAGTCTGCTTCCCTAAAGATTGCAGCCTAGGAAACGCTACAGGGCAGTTCTGCTCAGGGCTCCGTGCATTAGCACACGTTTACTTTTGCTCAACAGCACAGCAGCAAAAGCTGTAGGGCTACAAAGCTGAGCACTATGTACCCTCTGGCTCTGGGCCCTCTCCTCCCACCCCCCAATCCTAGGTCAATGAGGACTACTAGGGGCAGAGAAGGTCCACAGACTTTCCTGCTTCTGAACATGCCTGCCTCCCTTGAAGAAAGAAGCCTATAACACTTCCATTTCGGTGTGCGAAACTTACTGTGCTCATTAGATCACAGCTGCCGTGGGTTGGTGGCAGAACCATCTCTGTGCTGTTGGGGAGGAGTAAGAGCCAGTGGTTGGGAGACATTAAACATTTTGTGATTCGGAAATACTTCGTAGTCTTATAGTTTTCCCTCTTTGGGAGTGAAGGGAAGTCCATGTTTGATGGGTTTGAATTTTTCTGAACCCTGGGCACATTTGTATTCACAGAAGACAGAACCTGGTCTGGGTTAGTGGTGTTCCCGGTTCTTTTTGTATAAGGGTTGGACCATTTGGGTTCCTTCAGAATCCAATTGTAGTCATGGCCCAGGTCACCCTGTTTATCTGTGTTTTTAGTCATCTCTTCGAGATGAGTCCGGTGGCCACAGAGATGTACAGGGGGGATTCTGAACTACCCATATGGTTTGCATTATCATTCCATTTTCTCAGCGCACAGCCTTAAATTTTGCTCAAAAAGAAAACCCCCAACAACTTAAGCACGTATATTAAGCTATCTGTACTGTTTGTATGTGTGTGCAATGTTGATGATATTTTTCTTGGCCATTTACCAGTTAACACCGCACAGCCCAAGGGCAGTAAATCTTTTACATTGCATTGACATTGAGTCATAAATATGTATTAACTCTTATCTCTCTCTCTCTCTCTCTCTCTGGTGTGTGTCTTAATACATTGTGTTCCTTAGGCAACTTGTTCCAGCGATGGCACGTTCCCCTAGAACTCCAGATGACAAGACAAATGGCCAGCTCCGGTGCTTCAGGGGGCAAAATCGATAATTCTGTGTTAGTCCTCATTGTGGGCTTATCAACCCTAGGAGCTGGCGCGTATGTAAGTAGAAAAGCAGCTTGCAGAAAGAAGCTGCCGAACAGCTTCCCTTAGTGGACTCACACACTGCTCTGCTTTCAAACCTTTGCAATGCATTCTTTCTCCTCTGGGGAGAAAACAATCTGCAAAGCCTTCTTTAAAATGCCTACTATCTAATACCCTAAGAGAGCCAGTGTGTGTGGTGGGGGATGGGGAACAGGGGGAAGGTGACAGCCATTTAATCTCACGTTGGTGGAGCCTCTACTCTCTGCAGTTGTCGGTTCACTATTTCTTTGGAAGCCATTGGGGTTTTTTTAGACTCAACTAACCCACAAAATTGTATGTTCTCTTGGGTACGACACATGACCCTGGAAACAAGGTCAGAATTCATTGCAGCTCCCTAGCACAATATTGCCTTTTGAGCCCATTCTTGGCCAGAGTGTCTCTCTCTGTCTCTCTGTCTCTCTCTCTCACACACACACACACACACACACACACACACACACACACAGATACACCCTAGTAATCATGCCAAAACAGCCATCTCCAATCCAAACTGTTACACGTCTTCCTAAGAGGAAAAGTCTTGCCCCAGGACTCAAAGGTAGAACAGCAGATCCAGTAACTCTCAGTAATTTCAGAATGGCGTTGGCACGCGGTGGCGGACGCGCCTTTTAATTGGCTGCATAGTTGTAGCACAATCACAGCTGCTTCAGCAGACTCTGAGCGACTGGGTTGGTTACAGGGGAATTATTCTGTGGGGTTTTCTTTTTGTTCTTTTTTTTTCCCCCCAAGTTGGCAGGGTTTACCGTGACTAAGCAGATCAGGATAAAGTTGGATCGTGTGAGGTTGAGTGAACCAACTTAGATAACACCTAGTCAGTAACACTCCGGATTAAAGGGAGCTTTTTGTATTCTCTCGTAGGAACAGATGCTTGAAAGCCATGATGATTTTATATCTTCCTAAAAGCTCTAAGGTCTTTGTAGATTGTATCACTAGGTGACCCAGAAGGGGTCACAGGCATGCTTGCTCCTTACCTTCCTTCTCATGCCCCCACAACCCGACTCCCACAAGCGGGAGGAGAGTAGCCATCTCTGGGCAGTTGGGAGTGGAATCAGAGTAAAAGCGGGCGGGACAAGCCGTCTGCTGATGTCCGTGGGGGAAACACACAGTTTTCCTGCTCAGCCCTAGGTCTCCTCCAAATGCCTCCCTGTCTCTCTATTGTTTGTTCCACCGTGAATACTTCGTGTTTTCTCCAGCTTCTTTTGGTTTCTCTCATGACCTCATCTCTATCTGCAGTTGGGCGGGGTCCTCCTCTAGGCCCCTCTTCTAGCACACTCCCGTCTAGTGTGCAGCTGAATTTTCGGAGCAGCATTCCCTGGAGCCGGAGTTGGTTCTGTGTGATGTTACACTAAAACCAAATGGACGGGGTAGGGTGGGTGGCACCTTGGCACTAATGAGAAGTGGAGCCATGTGGATTCCATCCAATCCTCACAGCATGTGTTTCCTAGGCATTTATAAAGGGACATTGTCAGTCACTAGGCAGCCCCCAGAGCTCGCTCCTATAACGGCTCCAAGCCCTTGGGGAGATAGCTAACACCAGACGTGTCATCCTGCTGACAAATGACAGTAGTAACCCCTTTCAACACTTTAGCCAGTTCGATGCCCCAGTCACTCATTCTGGTGCCAAGTGATATTGTACTTACATATTGCCTCGTGAACAGGACGCTCTCCAATTGGAACCTCGAACCAGTGATGAAAGGGAACTTGATACCCCAGCCAATGCTGAGCCATTTTAGGTCAGCCAGAAACTTGGTATTTTGTGGGACCGTTCAATTAGCCTGGCTTGTATCATGTAAAGGCATTTTATTGAGTGCTTTTGAGGACTTCTGAAAATTTCAGTAGTTCCGCCCCTGCCCCAGCCTCTGTTTCACAGTACCTCTATTTGGCAGCTGTCCCTTCTGTAACCCCTGCTTTGAGCCAGCTAGTGGTTCCAGTGATCCAAGGGAACATGCCATGCAGTCGCCTTTCCTCAGTGCCGCTACGTCCTAATTCAGACACCACCCTGGAGCCTCAGTCCTCCCATTTCATCACTGTCCCAGATACTCCCGCCCATCCCACCCCCAGCCTTTCCAAATCCACCGTCAAGTTTACTGTGCCAGAGTTGCAGGGCTCCACAGGGGTGGGCAGGCGAATCCTCTTGATGCCAGACCACAAGACAGGGCTGTTGCTCGCTTCACTCCCTTCCCTGGCTATTTCTCAGGAGTGCAGGCCCTCTCCAGCCATTCACTTTAATGCCCTGTGTGCCCTCTGTGGTGATCCAACACTAGGAAGAATGAAGCCACTGTGGTGTCCTGGGGTCAGGTTCACTGATACGCTTTTGTCTATTTCCAGTTGTTACCGAACTGTTGTGGTACTGCCTCGTTATTAGCACTTCGGTCCTACAAATAACTTGATCTGAAGTCGTGTTGACTTTTTTTTTTAATCCCCCTCTTAGGTTGGTATTTGTCTCCAGAGAACTAGTCCTTTCGAACCAGCCCTGATGGCTGGGCAGTAAGTAGGGTAGCCTTACTTACACGAGGATGTGCCCTGATGGAAGCACAAATACAAACGCGCTGCTGATGCAGCAGTTCCTCTCGGCAGCTCTTCACCGCCTCCCTCCAGCCCCTTCCCAAAGAAGGGGACAACTCTAAGAACAGGACACGTTTTCAGAAGTGTCGCCTGGAGGGCTCTATTTTAAACTTCCTCTCCCCAACGTCAGCATACAAAACTGAAAAGAAACTTTATCACATCGTCATCTTACTGTGTATTATACTTTCTCTTGTATTTTCCCTTCTCTTCTGTTTTGTTTTGTTTTTTATTTCAAATATTGACCACAGCCTACCACATGGATTCCACAACCCACTGATAGGCTGGGAAGGGCAGTTTGAAAAACACTGATTTGCAAAACAGCTCCTGCTGCCCTGGTGGCACAGTGGGTTACACACTGGGCTACTAACTATAGGGTCAGTCGTTCGAATTCACCAGTTGCTCTGTGGGGGAAAGATGAGAGTCAGACTGCCGACTCCCGCAAGGATTTATCACCTCAGAATCCAATAAGGACGGATCTACCCTGTCCTGTAGGGTCCCTGTGAGGTGGAATTGACTTGATGGCAGTGAGTTTGGTTTTTTGGTTTGGTTTTGTGCTTACTGCTGCGATTTCCAGCAGGGGCCCTAATTGGCATGCACGGAAGAGATTCTCTTCTTTTGTTGTTAACTTTCACTGTAACCGGGCATAGCAGATCCCCGAATCAGTTTCCTGTCATTCCAATGGCACGGCGGTTAAAGCGCTCAGCCATGTACAACGTGGCAGCCAGCTTCCATAAAGGTTACAGTCTTGGAAACCCTAGGGGCAGTTCTGCTCTGTTCTTTGTGGCCACTATGTGTCAGAATCGACTTGGTGGCGGTGACTGTCATCATTCAACTGGCAAGGATGATACTCTTCCAGAAAATGGCCTGTAAGTTCCATAAACATCACCATGTTCCACTGTTAAACAAAATTGTTTCTCATATTTTTCATCAATCTGTGGGTTTTCTTAGGCTGACATGCATTCATTTCACGCACTCGTTGGAAATCTATGCAAATGGGATAGAGGCACACTGGGGTTTGGAAATGCACGTTCTCATCTCATATGTCAAGAAGCTTAGTTTTATATTTGAGCATTGATCCTAAAAGCTAAAGTGTGTGTGTGTGTGTGTGTGTGTGTGCGCGTATGTATACATGTATAAATGTTCTGGTATAAAAATGAACCTTACTGACAATAGACGACATAGTTAAAAACAATTGCTACTGAGTCACCTCTGACTCATGGCAGCTCCAGGTGTGTCCAGAGTAGAACTGTGCTCCGTAGAATGTTCGAGGCTATGAGCTTTCTGAAGTAGATCACCAGGCCTTGCTTCTGAGACTCCAGCCTTTGGGTTAGCAGAAGAGTGCTAACCCTTTGCAGCACTCAGGAACTCGTTACACACACACACACACAACACCCATTCGTACCCAACAAACCTCATTCTAGCCCTTTCCTCCCTCACTCAGGAACGTCTTGGTGTGCTTTTCCCCTCCGCTATGAAGCCAGCCATTAGAAGGTTGAAGCAAGCTGTTTGGGGGTATCCCTCTAAATGTGTACATGGCCCCATCGCATTTCTCAGTTTGCTCATGTTGACCGGAGTGAGCCATCTTTTCGGTAAAGGTTCCTTTCTTAAAAGAAATGTTTTTAGGTATGGGAGAATACTGGACTGCTCCAGACCAAGATAAGGGAGCCCTGTTGGCATAGTGGTTATGACTTGGGGTGTTATCAGAAGTTCAAAACCACCAGCCATTCCATGGGAGAAAGACGGGGCTTTCTACTACTCCCATAAAAAGCTACACTCTTGGAAACCCACAGGGAAACCCTATGTGGTCACTATGAGTCAGAATCAACTTGATGGTAGGGAGTTTGTGTGAATATGTGTGTGTGTGTGTGTGTGTGTGTGTGTGTATTTTGAGGCCAAGAGAAGACTGTCTTTCTGAAATGAATGGGAATTGAGTCATATTTCTTTAAATTCATAAGTTGAATAGTAAATTCTTGGGATAGTTACTATCTTTTAAATGAACAGCACTTGGCTTTCTATTCCAACCATCTCCTAGAAAATGTGTGTGCTGATTTACTGTGGGGCCCAGCGTCCCCATTGCCTAATGGGCTGCTCAGTAAGGCGGGGCCCGGGGAGAGTAATAGAAATATTCTTAGAGTAGGTCTTGTGGTCCTCCTTCAGATGGGAGTTTTATTCTTCCTGCAGTGAATAATCTGGGATTTCACCTGACAGTTAGTCATTGAAGTCCCAGTCTTGTTGATCCCAGGGAGACAAAGAGATCAAAGGTGTTGTAATCAAAACAAGTCATTCTTACCTGTTGCGTTTTAAGAAATCTCTAATAAATAAATAAACTCAAAACAAAACAAGTAACCACATGGTTAGGGGTCCTGCTTCAATCTGAAAGCATAGAGAAGGTGATATATTTGAAAGACAGCAGGGCTGAAGCAGAGTGCTGCCTCTTAATGAATAGCTCTGTATAGTGTTTCTTCATAAGACCCCTTGTGCTCTGTGCATATAAAGGCACCTTGCTGGTGATCTTGGGTAAGGGTTGGGTTGCTAGCCGCAGGTTTGGTGGTTCAAACCCACCAGCTGCTCTGCCAAAGAAAGATAGGCGGTTTGTGCCCGTAAGATTTAGGAAGCCTTGGAAAGTGGATCTTGGGTCACGCCAAGTCAGACGATGGCAGTGGGTTTGGGGTTTGGCTTGCCTCTTCCGTTCAGAAAAAGGGTATACCCCTGAAGGAAAGAGGACTCCCTCTGTGAGAATAGGATTCAGACAGCCATGTTTCCATAATCTGAATAGATTGTAGTTTTCTGGGCTCTTGGTCATTTAATGCTGCGCTAACAAAAGTATCACACGGGGTTGGCTGTAAGGCTCAGAAGTGTGTTTTCTCCCAGTTCGGGAGGCTAGGGGTCCAAATTCCAGGTGCCAGCTCTCAGGGAAGGCGCTCTGTCAGCTCTGGGGCCAGCTCGTGGCCCTCCCCGTTTCTCGAGGCTTGGCTTTCCTCCAAGATCTTCCCATGGCGGCTGCCTCCCCCCTCTTGTGCTTGCTGGTCCCTGAGTCTCTGCTGCTCATTAAACTCCAAAGTGATGAGGACTAGGGCCTGGCTTCTATTGACAGGGCCTCATCAACACAAAGAAAACCCTGTTTCCAACCGGCATTACACAGAGGTTAGCATCCTCCTTACGTAAATCTGTGACACCCGGTGAAACTGGGACCGGGAACTTGACAGCCCAGCTGCCCATCACATGTGGCAGGACCAGGACCACAGGTAGATTGCACCTGGAGCAGACAGAGTTGGCTTTCACAGCTAGGGAGTCCCGCAATATCTCAACCCCCTTCTTCCTTGAGCGAATTCAGCTTGCTCCTTCCTAGCACTTTGCCTCCTCGAATCAAAGCTTTTCATGTTCTCCTCTGGCTGTACCCTCAGAAGTAAATGTGAAGAAAGGCGTTCCTTCCAAGAGCCTCAGCAAACCGGGAACAGCAACATTTCCATTTGCAAACCTTATTTTTGTTCATACTAATCATACATTATTGTAAGTATTATAGATAATATCTATGTATTATTTCTGAAGAAAGCAACTTTATACCTCAGTGGCTTTAGCAGAGGGGAATTAAACCTCATGTAGACAGAAGCTTATCATCTAACTCGGTGGTTCTCAACCTTCCTAATGTTGTGGTGACCCCCCAACCATAACATTATTTTCATTGCTGCTTCATCACTGTCATTTTGCTACTGTTATGAATCGGGCAACCCCTGTGAAAGAGTCATTCAACCCCCAAAGGAGTTGAGACTCACAGGTTGAGAACCCCTGATCTAACTGGAAGGTAGCTCACATCTAAATGGTGTGAGCTCGCTGAGTGGCAAGGTCAGTCTGTGTGTACTTGGATCCACAGGCCTACAAGACCATCAGAGAGGACAAAGAAAGGTACAATGAGAGAATCTCAAGCTTAGGGCTGACGCCAGAAGAGAAGAAGAAAAGGGCGGCGGTGCCTGGTGAGTACGTACCTCCCCACTCCCTGTCGGGATGTAATGCTCTGTTTCGGAAGGAAACCATGAACCACATGGATGCCGTTTTGTTTTGTTTCTTCCAGCAGTTTTATTGACATATCATACAATTCTATAGTTCAGTCATCAGGGATCTCTCGGACAAACTGTGGGGTTGGAAACTTCCAGAAACAGCAGTGGTACCTCTGAAGCGGGCAACATTTGTCAAAGCTGTCAGCTACAGTGTGGGTTGCTGGGCACAATGAGCAACGGGAACTTTTCTTTCTCCTTTTTTTTTAAATCGTTTTATTGGGGGCTCATACAACTCTTATCACAATCCATACATACATCAATCGTGTAAAGCGCATTTGCACATTCATTGCCCTCATTCTCAAAACATTTCCTCTCCACTTAAGCCCCCGGCATTAGGTCCTCATTTTGCCCCTCCCTCCCCCTCCCCCTCCCTCATGATTCTCCTTATGAGCGTTCCAAAGGCCAACTTTTTAACAAAGGCCAGCTTGGTGCTGACAGCTCTTGGGAGAGAGCCGAGAGTGGTTTTTCCTGGGAGGGGCTGCCATGGATCTGTGGGGTGCCCTATGGAGTCTCTGCAGAGTCACATTGCTAATCATTGATTGGTTTCCCTGACACCAGAAGCCTATTCATTGATTGGTTGCCATTCCAAAGAAGAATGTTCGAATCCTTTTGTGAGCTCCACCTCTCAGTGGACCGTTTAGGTTGCTCTCCTCAGGAGCGCCTCCCTATTTAGGAACACTGTAACAATCCTCAGCAGACCTCATGTCTCCCCGCTTCCTCCCTCACCCAACGTGACACCCACTTGGTGTGCTCCTGTTGGTCATTAGGAAATGCATAGGAGGGGCAGGAGCTGGATGGAGCCTGTCCCCTCAACAGGAAGAGCCATGACCAGGTGAAAGGGACCCTGGTAGTGCAGTACTTACACATGAAGATGCTCACCTCAAGGTTAGCAGTTTGAACTCATTTGCCCCATGGCAGAAAGGTGAGGCTTTCAACTTCTGTAAAGAAACCAACAAGAGTAATTTGACCCTGTCATTAGGGTCGTTGTGTGTAGACATTGACTGGAGGGCAGTGAATGTTTGTTTGTTTGGGATAACTAGGTGAACTAGGCTCCCGTTCTGGTTCAGATATAATGGATCAATGCTATCAATCAAATCATTCTCCCCCCACCCCCCACCCTGTGTGGTTTCTCACTCAAATAGTGAAAGGACCACCTGGCCTGCGCCCCGCCCCCCTCTTCCCTTCAGGAGATCACTGGGCTAGCTTTACGGAAAAGATTCAGACCAGCGCTGGGTCGTCTTTCCTTCGGGTTGTTGTTGGTACTAGTGATGAGGAGTCTGCAGGACTGTCCGAACTCTCATCCTGTCTGCTCGACTGTTTACAGCATCCGCAGGAGAGCCGACTCCTCAAGCCAGGGCACCAAGCCACGTCCCTTTCCTGCTCATCGGTGGAGGCACTGCTGCCTTTGCGGCTGCCAGATCCATCCGGGCTCGGGACCCTGGGGCCAGGGTAAGGTGCACCTGACCGGGCTGGGCCCAGGGGGTGTCGATTGGAAGCATTGGCCAAGGTGAGCCCTTTGCCACCGGCCTCTTGAATGCCTGGGCTCTGGTCAGGATCACTCTCTGTGTGTCACAAACAGGTTCTCATTGTATCCGAAGACCCCGAGCTGCCATACATGCGGCCACCGTTGTCCAAAGAACTGTGGTTTTCAGATGATCCAAACGTCACCAGGACCCTGCGATTCAAACAGTGGAATGGAAAAGAGCGAAGGTGAGTGTGCTTCTGTAAAATGGGGGTGGGGGTGGGCCTGTGCGTGCGAGGGGCAGTCAAGCTATGGTGCCCATGTGCTGGAGGCCTGGCTCTGGAGACCAGGTCCTCCCATAGCAGAAGGCCCAATGCCACACCCTCAAGTGGCCGTGCTCCCGTTGCCAGGACCTCTAGATTCCCTTTTGGTAGCGAAAATCAGCCTGGGTGGTGGCGTCACCCCTTTTCCCTTGCCCAAGTGTGTCACTGAAATAGCCCCAGAGCAGTCTGGGCGTGCAGAATCGTGGAGGTGGTGCAGAACCCCTGCCAGAAAGTTTCTCTCTGTTGCACCAGAGACAGGAAGCTTCTTGAGTCCAATGCCGTGGTCTTTGGACTCCCATCTGTCATTTTCCCAGTCGCGGTCTCTTCGACACTGGACGGATCCTCTGCCCCCCCCCCCATCATGGTGCCTATTGTAAGCAGACTGCTCACAGCTAAACCTCCCTGAATCACTGTTCTGTACTTAGTGCTGGCCACTAGAGGCGGACTCCTCTAGGTGGTCAACTTAGTCTTTCCATTGACTAAGCCCAATCCTGGACAAGGCCTTCGGTAGGTAGGGGAGTTCCAGCTCCTTGGTTAGAGCTGGCCTTATTTTGAAGCAGACTGAAGTTCAGGGCAGGGTTGCTTGGCCAGGAGCCAGAATACTGATGTTCAGCATCCTTGCCCTCCATCACCCACGCAATGTCGGCAATCCGTCTCGCCATTGCTACAGTGAAAAACATGCTCCCAGATTCTAACGGCCACATGTGTCCCTTGGGGACCAAGAGGAGAATCCCTGACGCAGTATCTCGCTGCATCAGCCAGATCAAGCCATCACTTTGGGGAAGGGTTCTAACCTGCTTCTCACTGAGGAGCCACCTCAGGGGAGCTGGTCAGCAGGGTGGCTTCCTAATCTACTTTCCCCTCCTCTCTGTCCAGCATCTACTTCCAACCACCTTCCTTCTATGTCTCGGCTCAGGACCTGCCTCACATTGAGAATGGTGGCGTGGCTGTCCTCACGGGGAAGAAGGTGAGCTACTGAGGGGCTTCCTGGGGCTGGCGCTGTTGGTGTGCACGCAGGACAGCATGGACCCGGGCTCCTGTCTTTGCTTGGCCCTCGCATCTGTCCTGCCAGTGTGGTTTCTCAGCAAAGGCTGTTGCCAGCGGCCCTCTTCGGCTTACTGTGACCAGTCCAAAGATTCCCGGCTCAGAAGCCCCATGGAGCGGCTCAGTTCTGTCCTACAGGAGCACTTGATGGCAGCGGGTATGGTGCTTCTCTGTGGTTTATGGCCAGTCTACACGGCTTAGCGTGTCCTGCTCGGGAATGCGCTGTGGTCCAAGCCTCTTGAGTGCTCGTGGAGCAATGCCAGAATGCCAGGTTGCTGGAGAGAGGAACTCAGTATGTGGTTACATCTCCAGGTGTGCTTTCGTCCCCCGGCCTGCTGTGTTCCCACACTGATTTCTCGGGCAGTAGGTCCGGATGACAGGAGCTTGACAAAATGTATGTTATTTGGGACAGTAAAGTGAGCCAGGCCTTGCTCCTCACTGAGACAATTATTAATCGTTAGCTAGGTGAGGACTCAAGTCATGGGCCATTCGGATAGGAGGCCACCTGCGGGGTCAAGACAGGAAGTATGTCTCCTGTTCTGTGTGGTTTTTTACCAAAGGGAGGGACTAGAGTACTTGGAAATGAGCAGAAATGTTCCAGAAGAGAGGGAGGGGTTATCTGGAGGGAGCCCAAGCCAGGGTAGCTGGGATTCGAAGGACACATGTGAGGGGCTGGCCTTGGAGAGGCACTGTAAGCTGACAGTAAGCAGAGGCATTAGAGAGAGGTTGGCGAGTTAGGCTGGCGATGAGATGTTAAAATGTTAAGTATCCCCCAAGTGTCAATAGCTCAGGCTTTTAGAGGCTCGTAGAAACTCAGGCAGATCATCATGAAACATGGGCGTGTGGTAGGAGAGAGCTGCACTGGGGAGGGGAGGAATAACTGCAAGGCCCGGCCTAGCGAGGGCTTCCAGGAGGAGGAGGTCTTACAGAACAAGCAAAGCATCTGAGGAAGCATTGGCTGCAATGAGAGAGTAATGAAGAGCATGCAGGTGACCAGCAAACAACCACTCAAAGGTACAGAGAGGCGGCAAAGCCCAGGTGGTGCCCACCGACAGGGCACAAGAGATCATTCCGGTTGGCCACGTGCATTGGGCAGCTGCTGAGTTTTAGGGGAGGATGTCAAACAGATTGGATTTAAATGATCACTTTACTGACTGTGAAGGAATCCGGGGTTGTGGAGTGGGGGCAGGGGTTAGCAGCCACCAGGGGAGAAATATCCAGAAACCAAACTCCCTGCTGTCAAATTGATGCTGCCATCAAGTCACTGTCAACTTATAGCCATCCTATCTATAGGACAGCGTAGAACTGCCTCTGTGGGTTTCTGAGACTAATTCTCTGTGGGAGTAGAAAGCCTCATCCTTCTTCTTGGGGAGAAAAATGGGGAAATTCTATTCTGTTCGAGGAGCCCTGGGGTGTACTGGGCTGTGCATTGGGCTGCTAACCACAAGATCAGCAGTTCAAAACCAGCAGCCACCCCAGAGGAGAAAGATGAGAGGCTGTCTGCTTCCTTAACGAGTTAGTCTCGGAAACCCACAGGGGCAGTTCTACTCAGTTTTATAGATAGGGTCGCTATAAGTTGACATTGACTCGATGGCATTGAACCTGATTTTTTTGGTCTGTTCTGTTCTGCAGGGTTGCTCTGAGTCAGAACTGACTCAACAGAAATGGGTTATTGCTGTGAGGAGGTTGGATTTCAGCGAGACAAAAGCTGAAACCATTTCAAAGATGATTGGAGTTCTTATCCAGGCCGAAGATGAGCATCCAAGTTAGAATCGTTCTAGTAGTGAGCACACCATGAAAGTAAGAACTAAAAAGTACATGCAGTGCCTTGTGTCATCCGATCTACACAGTTCTTAGGCATGTCCTCTCATTTTATCCTCATCGTCACCCTTGACAGCACACCAACCCACCCCCACTGCTGTTGAGTCGTTTCTGACTCTCAGCCACCCTGCACGACAAAGCAGAACTGCCCCCTAGTCTTTCCAAGGTGGCTATCTATGAAAGCAGACTGCCGGGCCTTCTGCTGTAGAGTGGCTGGCGGATTCTAACAGCCAGCCTAGAGGTTGGCAGCCAGGTGCTCAAACCAGGTGCCACCGGGGCGCTTCATGCTTACGGAGTCCATAGATGTTATTATCATTCCCGTTGGGTAAACATGAACGGGGGATGGAAAAGAGCTCATACATATCACCTGGCCAGGATCACACAGCAAATAAGTAGTTACACCCAGGGCTGACTAATTTCGGAATTGAATCCCAGACTTGTGGAGTCCGGAGCTCAAGCCCTTCATGATGGCATCTCTTGTGTTGAGACAGGCTTATCTCATTGGGATGAATTGAGTGAGTGAGTGAGTGAGTGAGTGAGTGAGTGAGTGAGTGAAGGCAAAAGATGAGGAAGAAGTGGGTGGCAAGGATGGTATTAAAGAAGGAAGCTAAAAATTCCACATGGGATGATTATGTTGGACATGAAGGTATATCTTAAAGGTTTGTGGCTCTGTGGCTGCCACATCCAGGAAAGGTTCTGGAATGGAGGTGGTGGTTGTGTGCCATCAAGTAGCTCTGACCCACAGTGACCTGGTAGGACAGAGCAGGGCTGCCTATCAACTTTCCTCATCTGTCATTTTTTAAGAGCCAACTGCCAGGTCTTTGGTCCCCCAGAGTTACTGGTGGATTTGAACTGCTGGCCTTTGGTTCCCAGCCAAGAGCTTTACTTTGCGCCCACAGAACTCCTCTGGGCTAGAATGAATGCTTGGGAAATGTCCTGCATGTGAACAGTAGTAGGAATTGAAACTGAGAGAGTGAATGCAGTTGCTTAGGGCGAATGTATCTTGTGACAGGAGCGGTGAGGCTAGGATGCAACCTCGGGGAGCCGGAGGGAGGTTTCAGAAGAAGAGCCCTCAAAGGGTACAAGGAAAACAATCCAGGGAAATCTGAACTGCACCAGGGTGGGGTGGTGTTGCTGGAAGCCAGTCATCCCGAGTATTTCAAGGAGGGCATGCTCCAGAGTTCTGCCACAGAGGAGCCTGCTAAGGAAAGGCTGACCACATGTCATGCCAGCCTGGACGGTTTAGAAGTCATTATGAAATGAGAGAGGAAGAAGGAAGTGCTCTTTCCAAGCATTTCCACGAGAAAGGAGGCTAGTGGTTGGAAGGGAAGTAGAATTGGCGGTGGGACTTCTAGGGTAGGATAGAGGGAAGGCGGAAGAAGTCAGGAGAAAGGAGGTAGGGGGAATGGGTGGGTGGCTAGCTGGTAGAGCAAGGTGCCAGAGGGGAAGGCAGGCATGGGCATCAGGCACGCATGGAAGGGCTGCCCTTAACAAAAGGTAACCCTCATCCCAGAAGCTGGGAGAAAGGCAAAGGAAACATGGACGGCCCTGAAGTTGGGGGTGGTAGTTAGGGGGGCTGCCAGCCCCTATGGAAAACTGAGGAAGAGTGACCTCTTGGCCTCTTCCCTTGTCTTCAGGGATGTTCTCTTAAGCGTGAGTGGGGTACAGCTGGCGAGGAACGGGTGCTGGCCAAGGACAAAACCAAAGAGGCTGAAGAAGCAAGTCTTCCAGCCAACCTCCATTGTCCTTGGTGCACACTTGCCTTAGGTTCCCAGGACCACTTGTATGGCCCCATCATTGCCTTTCTGAATATGCTCAGCACTTGGTATTACTGTCTGCCACCGGGTCGCTTCCAACCCACAGTGACCCTGCGAGGCTGTCACGGGTACGAAAGCACACTGACACATACTTTTCTTCCATGGAGCAGCTGATGGGTTCAAACGGCGGACCTTGCAGCTAGCATCCAAGTGCTTTACCACTGTGCCACCAGGACTCTTGGTTAGGGCTTGTTAAATCATCTGCCTGGGCTATTAAACTCAGTCCTCCTCAGGGAAGTCACCTGTCTCTGTCACCAGTGTGTCTCCTCCACTTAATATAGCACTGGGCATGTAGTACCCAGACCAAATTTACGGCCATCAGGTTGGTTGAAGGAGCCTTGGTAGTGCTGTGGTTAAAGTGCTCAGTGCAGCTAAAAGGTGTTAGTCGTTTGAAAACACCCACCCGGCCCCCACCATCTCCAAGGGAGAAGGATGAGACAGTCTTATTTTGTAAAGATGTATAGCCTCAGAAACCTTATGGAGTAGCTCTGTTCTCTCCTATAGGGTCACTGTGAGTTGGGTTGGCAAACAGTAGGTGTAATCAATTTTTCTTGAATGAAGGATTTCCTAGCTAATCCTTTTTGTTCCTAGTGGAATAAAGCTGGAACTGTGGTCTCTCTGGCTCCAAAGCCGAAGCTCTCTGCCATACGGAGGAGTAGAGTACAAGGGAACTAAGGGTGCTGATAAGGGACCATGTGGACGGGCTGCCGTTGGACCGTTGACCTAGATTCATTAGAAGGAGCAAGCAGCTAGTGGCTGGAAGTATAGAAAGCTGTCATCCAAGAGTGGGGTGGTTGAGGTTTTAGATGTCAAACTTAAGGGCATTAGGTATTCTGGGTGTGGCTCAGAGCAAAAGTCTGAGCCAGGTTCCAAGGCCTTTGGTGAACAGGGGGGAATTTGTGTCCAAAGCACGCCCCTAACAGATGACTCTTCAAAACTGGGGCCCAGGGCCTGGGGGAAGGAGGGAGTGGCTTGCTCCTGGGTACAGCCCTATTTCTTTCTGAGGAAATAAAAATGTTTTGGAATTAGATACTGGGGAGGCTTACACAGCACAGTGAATACACTCAAATCCACCCATTTTGTCCTCTTTAAATGGATGGACTTTATGTTATGTGGATTAAAGTGCAATAACAATGCCTCTTTTACAGGTCAGCTCATTTCTCTCTCTCTCTCTCTGATGATACCAGGTAGTGCATCTGGATGTGAGAGGCAACATGGTGAAACTGAATGATGGCTCCCAGATAACCTATGAGAAATGCCTGATTGCAACAGGTGAGGCTTTGAGCCTGGATACAGCCCCTCCTCCTCAGAAGGCATTGCTCACCCAGAAGAGACTGGAAGTATAGCCCCAAGGGAGCATCTTCTCTCGGGTACCCCATCCTAGCTCCCTGCCCTTCTAGGTCACTCCTGCCACTCCTTCTGGTGGCAGCATGGCTGTGTACTGGAGAAGGCTGTCCTATGCCCTGAAAAATCAGGGCGTCCATGGCTTCATGACCAGTTCCAGTCAGGATCAAAGACTGCAAAGAAGAAAACTAAGCCAGTTGTTCTGTAGCAGAGGAGAAGTGAACTCTGCTTGCTCAGGGGCTAGATTTAGGAAGGGAAGTACATTGCTAGGCCTTTCTTCCCAGGTGCCTTGGGTGAGTTTGAACTGTCACCCTTTTGGCTGGTAGCCTACCACTAACTCTTCCATGCCACCCAAGGACTCCTAGGGGACCAGAAACACTCACTGCCATCAAGTCGATTCTGACTCATAGTAACCCTATAGGGCAGAGAAGAACTACCCCATGGGTTTCGGAGGCTGTCGCTATTAACAGTAGAGCCTCATCTTTTTCTTGTAGAGTCAGCTGTCTTCGAACTGCTAACCTTGTAGCTAGCAGCTCAATGTGTAACCACTGCTCCACCAGGGCTCTTCAGCTGTTTCTTAACCAGAGCCCTGACAAGTAGTCAGTACTCATGGCAACACGGAGCTCCCTGTGAGCAGGACGGGGCCCTTGACGAGAGACTCTCAAATCTGCTTCTCAAAGGAAGTTGGTCAGAGCTGCTGTGTGGCGGTCACATCCTGTTGACACTGCGGTGGCACTTGCAGGGAGCACCCCCTGCCATTCCTCCTCTGCCCTTGGGGTGGGGGTTTGGCTCATCCTGCATTGGCTCCCTGGGCTGAAGAGGGTTTCCTCCTTTGGTTTCCAGGGGGCACGCCAAGGAATCTGTCTGCTATCGATAGGGCTGGGGCTGAGGTGAGGAGTCGGACAACACTCTTCAGGAAGGTAAGTTGGAGCTGCAAATGTGTTGTTTCAGAAGAAGTGGAGTGTCATCTCGGGGAACCCAGGGGCCCGGCTGGGATTGGAGCCAGCCCAGGTCTGTGTCTAGCCCTGGCCTGGAGCCCATCCATCCCTTCCCCTAGCCTAGCCTCCCCTCCCATGCCTCGCTCAAGTGCTGCGCCTGCCCTTGCACGGCCGCTGCTTCCCAGTGCATTCCGGCGGTGGGCCTTCTAGGCTCTTGGCGTTTTCCCCTCACAAGTCCGCAAGTGCTCTCGTCGAAGCGCTGAGGAGAAAAGTTAGAAGTACCCGAGTGAACGGGGCTGAGGGCTTTTGCTTCTTCACACCACGCTTTGCTTACAAAGCAAAGGAGCTGGCTCTCTGCAGCTGCCGGGGTGGAGAGCTGGTAAGAGTTATGCTTGATTGAACAGGCTGTCCTCTGCCTTGGCACCATGGAGGGCCAACTGTGGGGCCGGGCTGGGCATTGTAGCCTGCCGGGCAGCATCCTCAGCCTCCTCCCACTAGACGCCCGTAGTACGGCCCCAGCCCCCACCCCAGTCTGACCACGAAAATGATCTCCAAACAGTGACATAAGTGCCCTAGGCAGGGAGGGTTAGATTGAAGGGGCATGAAACCCCACCACTAGTTGAGGATCACCATTGAGAGAAAGAATGTTGCGATAGTATTGGAGAAAAAAACCCGGCTGCCCCTGATAAGGAGAGGCACCGAGGGATAAAGACTGGGCCTTATCCTCCTGTACAGAGTGACAGTCTCTGAAACCCAAAGGGGTTGTTCTACCCTGTCCTATAGGGCCGCTGTGAGGTGGGACTGACTTGAGGGCTGTGAGTTTGGTTTCGTTTTCATATAAGGAAAAGATTTTATCCGCAAATTTCCATCAAAGATGTCGAAGCAAAGCACTCCTCGAGTTATCCTCCTCCACCCCTTTGGGGACTCGTGGGGCTCAATCGCTGTGCTCTTGCAGATTGGAGACTTCAGGGCCTTGGAGAAGATCTCACGAGAAGTCAAATCCATCACGATTATTGGTGGGGGCTTCCTGGGCAGCGAGCTGGCCTGTGCTCTTGGGAGAAAGGGTGAGTATTGGGGAGCAGGTACTCTTGACTCCTCTAGCCACCCCTCACACACTCTTGGGTGGGGGCCTTCCCATTCCAGAGATAGATCTGCCAGCTCCGGAGAAAGCATTGGGTCAGGCCTCTATGGTGACATTAGTTGTAAGACAGGATGCCTTCCTGACTGAAAAGCTGTCACCGCAGCCACTTAGTGGGGTGCTTACTTTCTCCTGTCCAGCCTCTAGGACAGGAGTCTTTGGGTTTGGTTCATATGGCAAAGACACTGTAAACTGCAGAAAGGTCACAACTTTTCCTCAGACATGGGACCTTCAAGTTTGACTGTTCCTTGGCAACCATTTTTCTTTGGGTCTTATTTGTTTGTTTTTCTTTTTTGCTCTTGTTGAAAGACACACAGCAAAACAAAACTAAACAAACTCAACTGTTTCCACCTGCACAATTCCATGCCTCACTTACCACCTTCAAGTTCAGTAGCTCTCCTGCCTTTTCAGAGTTGTTCTTCTAGCCGATTAACATCAACTTCTCCGCTGAGCTTCCCGTCTAACCTTTCGAGATGCTCTTGTCGGACGTGAGGCCGTTCCATTGCAAGCGTTCTTTCAGAGACTGCAATGCTCAGGGCAGACATTCTTGACTTAGCCCACTGAAGGATTGGCCGGCTGCCTTGTTTCTTAAGGGGATTTTTCAGCTCTGTGGAGCCCTGGCATCCACTCCAGAGGGTACTAACTAGTTAGAGATTCCCAAAGCACTTGCATAAGCCTGAGGGGGGTCACATGAGTATAAGGGATAGCAGTCCTGGCATTTGTCACAGTTGCCTGATGAATGAACTCCCAACACCAAGGCCCTCAGGCCCCAGGGCCCAATGGGAGCTCAGGCTTGGGCTGTAGCTTCGCCCTGTGTTTAGTCAGTGGCCGTCATCTGCTGCTTGTACTTCTCATCCTGTCTCCCTAGGGTGGCCTCCTGCTACACCAACTCTGTTTCTTCTTTGCAGCTCAAGTCTTGGGCACAGAAGTGATTCAGCTCTTCCCTGAGAAAGGGAACATGGGGAAGATTCTCCCTGAATACCTCAGCAACTGGACCATGGACAAAGTCAGACGAGGTAGAGAGCCTTTCCCACAGTCCTTCTCTGCTCCCAGTTCAGACTAAGGCAGTGTATGCTTCCTGGCCTAAGCTCTATCACCCAGCCAAAGAAATGCTTCCCCCACTCTAATGAAGTGCTCTCTGAGCTGACTACGTCCTAGCCGGTCTGGAATTTGCCATGAGATGCCTCTGGTTGGCATCCCTCCTTTGTGCAAAGGAGGTAGGCTGAGAGACTCAGCCTCAGGTCTCATTTACCTTTACAGAAGGAGTTCAGGTGATGCCCAATGCAATCGTGCAGTCAGTGGGGGTCAGTGGCGGCAAATTACTCATCAAGCTGAAAGATGGCAGGAAGGTAAGGAGGCAGGATGATAAGGAGGGGCCGAGAGGCTGCCAGCAGACCTGCACACTCTCCCCTCCCCTGTCCATTGGCCCTCCTTGGTTTGCAACCAGTACACTAATTTCTTGGCAGCTGCCATTCACCCATCATAATTCCGAGAATTAACTGTTCCCCACCCGCCCTCGTTGCATGGCTCATCACCAACTGTGGATACATGGAGCACAAATGGGAATCCCCGCACACTTGCTCGTGTGAATCTCAACAAGGACCAAAGTGGAACTTTTGCTTTCTGCCCCCAACCACCCCAGGTAGAAACTGACCACATAGTGGCAGCTGTGGGCCTGGAGCCCAACGTGGATTTGGCCAAGGCTGGCGGGTTAGAAATCGACTCGGACTTTGGTGGCTTCCGGGTAAATGCAGAGCTCCAAGCTCGCTCCAACATCTGGGTGGTAAGTGTGACCCTGCCCCACCTCCCCTCACCCCAACTCCGGGGCCGCTCATGACAGCTGCCCCATGGCCTGACAGCATAGGGAGAGGAGAAGCAGGGAACTGCTGCAGGCGAGGGGAAAATGAACACAGCATGGCACGGTGGCAGAATTGTCCCCTATGGGCCGCCAAATCCTGGCTTCCAGCCGCCCTGCCCACCCCTTGCTCCAGTCTGAGCCCAGGGAATGGAGGGCGCAGCCGTTCTGTACCAGATTCCCTCGAAAGGAAAAGCCCCGGCTTTCATTTTCCTTGTAGTACTATTTTTAGTTGTTTTTAAAAATGACACAAACAAGACTAGCACCCGTAGGAACCATGAGGTAATTCCCCCCATTGTTAGGTCGTCACAAGTGTATTGTGTTTAATTTGGGGCTCTCCGACTTAGGGTGCAGGAACGCAGGAGGGCTGGTGGTTGGGTTTTTTGTTTTGTTTTGTTTACCTTGAAAGTTTTTTTTTTTTAAGGTAACTCGTCCTAGTTCTAAATGCACACTCAGGCGCAGGGAAAGGGGCCCAGCCACCTACAGCCACCTAGACAATCTTAGTATTGTCTCCTGCTCTTTGCTTTTAAGGGCCGGGGTTTCACCTTTGTTTCCCATGGGTCTGTGGTAAATGCCACTTAGACACATTATTAGTAGCCTGCTTTTTTGTTGTCCCATGTACTAATATAATAACAATGTTTTCTGTGTGATTTGGGGCTGTGTCAGGAGGCCAAACCGAAACCAAACTCACTACCATTGAGTCCATTCCAACACATCACAACCCTATAGGACTGAGTAGAACTGCCCCTCTGAGTGTCTGAGACTGTAACTCTTTACCGGAAGTAGAAAGCCGCATCTTTCTTCCATAGAGTGGCTGATGGCTTCGAACGCTGACCTTGCAGATCACAGCCCAATGGGTAACAACTCTGCCACCAGGGCTCCTGTTTGCAGCCCAGTGACTGGCTAATATTCCACTGAGTGGATTTCACTTGGTAGGCTGTCAAGGTGCTTTCAAGGAGGGAGTTTGGATAGACACAAAGATGAACAAAAGGCTGGAGATGTCAAAGACCACATCCTTCTCAAAGCTGGTCCTGTTACACACACACACACACACACACACACACACACACACACACACACACACACACACACACGATGGCTGGCCCACTCTCTGCCAGTCACACTTGGCTCAGCTCGGCTGTGCGTTTGTAATTATGGCCAGGACTGAAGCTTTCTCTAAGGGGCCATGCACCCATGGTCGACAAAGGCCATGTCAGTTTATCCCCGCAATTCCCATGACGTAGTAGTGCTTTGACAACACCATGTCCTCAGCAAGTAGCTGTTAAGTGAAGACTGAGCAACCATAAAGGAAAGAAAGAAAATGTGCCCTTCAAAAGGTATATACGTGAGAGGCAATCACATGTCAAAGTGGGGCTGCATGTGGTAGAATAGTCTGTCAATTGCGGTGTTCACTAGTTTGTCCCTGAGAAGGACCAAATGAGGAGCCCCGGGTCTCCATTGAAATCAAGAAGGCTCAGGTAGACTTGGGGGAATCCTCAAATAAATCCTCATAGATGGTCTCACCACCAGTTTTGACAGTTGGGGTATGTCTTTTCTGTAGCATAGAGGGAAGCATTTATTCATGAATGCTACAGGGGTTCTTTGAGCACCTCCCCTCTCCCCCGCTGTTGTTCTGACTTTTGAACTCGTATCTTTTCCCTCTTCTGCCTCGTGTTCTGCTTGGGTTCCCCAAGGCAGGAGATGCCGCGTGCTTCTATGACATCAAACTGGGCAGGAGGCGAGTAGAGCACCACGACCATGCTGTTGTCAGTGGACGCCTGGCTGGAGAAAACATGACCGGCGCTGCCAAGCCCTACTGGCACCAGTCAATGTTCTGGTAACCGTCTTGCTCCTTGGGCCCTGAATTCGTTTGAACACAGATTTAATGGGACTAGGGTTTGGGAGGAGGCGGCAGTTCCATCTCAACATCTTCGTGCATTCTAACCCAGCGAGGGCATCTGGTCACAGTCCTGCAGGCGGAGGGGGGTGTTTCTAAGGTCTAGATTCTATTCTGTTTTGTTCTGTGCTGCTGACCCTACTGAGCCCAACCTACTGGGGGAGGCAGTGCATCCCACTTTCATCTATAACCCTCCATGCAGATAGCCATTCAGACCCTTGCTCAGTGCTGAGGGAGGTGCGGGGCACAACCCATTCATCTGCCGCTCTTCCTGTAGATGGCCCTTCAGAGCCTCGCTGAGTACTGTGGTGGGGGACACACAGCCCACTTGTCTGTAACCCTCCCTGTAGGTAGCCCTTTAGAGCCTCGCTGAGTGCTGGGGCCGGCCCTAGTTGAGTCTTTTGGGCTTTGTTGATTTGAAAGAGGTGCTACATAAAAAAAGTCAAGGTTTCGGGGCCTCTCTCGCTATTCCTGTCGGTGGACTTCTCAGCGGATGGGAGTACATTGTAGGAGATCACAGGCAGCTTGATGAGTGGCCAACAAAGAAATAACAGATGAGTTTCAGGGTCAGCTCATGGAAGAGACTGACATTAGGAAAACAATGGTCCTGAGCTATACAGTTATCAGCTAGGGCCCTGAAGATACCCAGCCAGCGAGCTGCTGTGACCAGAAAGATAACAGGACTGTAGATACCAGAAACAAAGTGGCTACAGCATCCTCAATTAGGACAAAACTGGGGGTTGGGGGCAGGGGGGGGGCTGTCTGCACCCAAAATAATCAGTGAGGTTCCCAGCACAGTGGAAGGCATGAGGACGACCTTCTGACAACATTTTCAAGAAGTTAAGAGAAAATGACCAAGTGGATGAAGGTTCCCCTTTACAAGAAAGCATTCCAGGCTTGGAAAGGGAAGGCTTCGGGGAAAGCACTTGGCAGTTGGGGGTGCAGGCTGGCAAAATGTGATCGAGGGAGGACAGGCACTGTGAGGTTGGTAAGAACTAAAGGCCACAGAGGCCAGTGTTCTGTCTCCAGCCCTGTGCTGCCAGTCTTCCAGAAGCAGATGTCTGTGTAGCCTGGCAGGCTGCACAGGTGTGGGAGCGAGGGTAGGAGCAAGACCCAGTGATACATACCTAGGTCTTTACCTTTGTTGCGACGATATCCATGAATCTGGTGGAGCAGATGGGGGCAAAGTAATAGGAACGATTTTGAAAGCTTAAAAAAAAAACCCGAAAAACCGAAGGCCCAGAGGAAATATTGCCAGTTGATGGTGCCCTCAAGCACCTCAATCCCAGATTCTGTAAACATGGGGGCCCCCTTTGAAGTTCCAAAAAAGCCATTTCCAGACAAGTGCACAGGAAGGGAGTGAGTAGCGAAAGCCTGGCACGCGTCACCACCACCACCCCTCCCCAAATGTGCCCTGGGCTCCAAGGCTAAGAAGGGTGCCATATATGGTATGTGACTTGTGACACAGGGCTAGCACACCTTTCTCCTGGTTGCCCCCTGCTGCCCTTGTGGGAGGCGGACACGTTTGGCATGTGTCTTTTTGTTCTTTGTTTGGTGTAACAAGGCCGTGCCTGAGAGAGCCCGTTGACCATGCTGCTGCTTACGCTGCCCACCCCTCTCTTCTCTTTTTCCTCTTAAGGAGCGACTTGGGCCCAGATGTTGGCTATGAAGCTATTGGCCTTGTGGATAGTAGTTTGCCCACTGTTGGTGTATTTGCAAAAGCAACTGCGGAAGACAATCCCAAATCTGCCACCGAGCAGTCTGGTAAGGAAGTCCTGCTGTCATCCCTGTTCTCCCCAACGAGGTGGGGGTGGGGGTGTCTGCATTGGCTCCACCAATAAAACCCTCCCTTTATGTGCTTGTAAAGAAACCAAGGCCAGAGCGCCATCCCCCACCCCCCCACTGGAGGGCTAAGAGAGCCGACTCCTGTGCCCCAGCCTCCGGACAGTAACTGACTGGGCAGCCCTGTGCCTGCGTGTGTCTCTAGGGAAAAGGAAGAAGCTCGCTTCATGTTTTCCTTTGGTTTCCTGCTAGTCCTGGGCCAGCGCTCTCTGCAGAAGGGAGGCAGCGCTCCTGGAATGGGCCCCTTGTGCTCCCACTCACATCTTTTTCATTAACTCCAAGGTCTCTAGCGCTCTGCCTCCTCTGACCTTGGCTCAAGTTATTTCACCCCTGTGTCTTTTCGCCAGAGGTGTTTCAAGGGCAAATAACTCTTTAAGAAGAAGAAAAACAAGATAGATGCCCACGTCACTCCTGTTCCTAAATTATTGCAGTGCCAGGCATGTACCCGCTCCTTAGTTCTGATTTCTTGCCTGGGAGTGGGATCCCAGGAGAGGGGCCAGGTAGCTTGGCTGCTGTCAGATAGCCAGCGGGCCACCTCCCACACCACCATGCACCCACCCCCACCCCCATCCGCCAGCAGGACTGTCCTTGCCGAGAGTCTCTTGTGCCTTTGCCTGCTTTGGCTGACATGTCTGTGTCGCAGTGTGGCCCAAGAGAACTTTCTGTGGTGCTGAGTTGGTCTATCTCTGCTCTGTCCAATGCACTAGCTTCTGGTGGCGGGGAGGGGACAGGCCGAAGAGTGTTTGAAATGTGTCTGGTGCACTTCAGGAGCTCCCTCTTTAATAGGGCTCACCTGTAAAGAATGTGAAGCTGGATCGCTCCATGTGGCTAAGTGTGTTGGGTCATTTACTCCTTTCACAGTGGGCAGCAGTTGCCTCCATAGGCACTATCTTTTAATTCTCCCTTTCCACAAACTTTTTGAAGCCTCCTGGCACACAGTTTGTTTTGTGCCAGTAGTTCCCATGCCCTCAGCACTTTTCCCCCTTCCTCCCTGGGCTCCCCGTTTCCATCGCCTCTCTCTCCTGACCCTTCCTGCCTTCTGAATGCTGCATGGGGGCAAATGCTGCCCCTTTGGGTCTCATTTGGTCTCGCGGTTTATTGTTGTGAGGAACATGTTCCTTCCGGGGTGTCTGTCCAACTTTACAGGCCTGGTTATTGTTTGGCTGACAGGTAATGACTGGCTGGGAATGAATTCTGTTTCTGGTTTGAAGGTTGCCTCAAAACTACAGTCTTGGGGTCCCACCAAGTTCTATTGGACCAAGAAATCTGCTCTTTTTATGATTTTGAATTTTGTTCTGCATTTTGGGGGGTCCACTCTCCTCGGAACTCTCGATTGTGATTCCAACCAGAGTGGGTAGTTATGCTTGGTGCTAGGTAGCATGGACACTCCCGCCCCCACCTTCCAGCCCAGGAAATGAAAGCCCAACAAGAAACTAAGCTCTCAGGAAAGATCTCTATCGTATATTGAGAATGTAAAAGCTGGGCCTGAGGTGCAGGGGGGGGAGGCGGTAGTTTGGGGTCAGACTGACCCAGTGCCCAAGAACTGGCAAGGAAGAACTTTCCTTGGCTTTGTTGGTGGGGAGAGGCTGGAAGAAGCCCGTGTTTAATGAAGGGGCGTAGAAAAGCTCATGATCTTGAAGCAGGTTTCGAAAGCCACTGGCCTTCCAGAGTTTTCCAGTCTCATAAAGGAGATGTTGGGCCAATGTGTCTGTCTGTTTGTCTGTCTGTCTTTTCGGGGTGGCTGGCTACAGGGACTGGTATCCGATCGGAGAGCGAGACAGAGTCTGAGGCCTCAAGCATCGTTATCCCTCCAAGTAACCCGGCAACACCTCAGGTCCCCACCGAAGGCGAGGACTACGGCAAAGGCGTCATCTTCTACCTCAGGGAGAAGGTGGTGGTGGGGATTGTGCTCTGGAACATCTTTAACCGAATGCCAATCGCAAGGAAGGTAGGTGCCTGTCCACGGTGCTTGGAGAGGAAGCAGGGAGGTGCAGGCTGGGATGGGCCTCGTCCTTCTGGGTCACGTTGTGCCCAGCCAGAACAAAAGCCTCACCTTGGCTCGGGCACTTGTCTTTTTATTACTAAGGACTTGGCTGGGTGGCCGGGAGTCGTCAGCCCACTGCTCGCTTGGGGTCGATAGAAAGCTGTCATCAGTGGTGGGGGGGGGCATGGAATGGAGACCCAATGCCCATTTGTAGACAATTGGACATCTCCCTACAGAGGGGTCACAGAGAAGAGATGAGCCACTCAGGGTGCAGCAGAGCCCCGATGAAATACAACCTTCATCTAGTTCTTTGGTGCTTCCTTCCCCCCACTATCATGACCACAATTCTACCTTATAAATTGGATTAGACCAGAACATGCACACGGCGACAGAAAAGAGCCCCAAACACAGGGAATCCAGGATAGATAAACCCCTCAGGGGCAACAATGAGAGTAGAGATACCAGGAGGATTAGGGGAGGGAAGGGGGAGAAGGGGAATCAATCATAAGGATCAACCTAAAATCCCCTCTCAGGGACAAACAACAGAAATGTGGGTGAGGGGCAATGGAGGACGATGTAAGATATAAAAATAATAATCTATAACTTATCAAGGGTTCGTGAGGGAGAGAGGAAGCGGGAAGAAATGGGGAGCTGATATCAGGGGCTCAAGTGGGAAGAGAATGCTTTGAAAATGATGATGGCGGCATATGTGCAAATGTGCTTGACACACTGGATGAACGTATGGATTGTGAAAAGAGATGTAAGAGCCCCCACTAAAAGTATTTAATTTAAAAAAAGAAAAAAGAAAGAAAGCTGTCATCCCCCCACTCCCTCAGAGTGTGCTGAGGGGTCTGGCCCAGGCTGCCCGACTGAGTGGGTGGGTGACTCCTGGTTCCTCTCTCCCTCAGATTATTAAGGATGGGGAGCAACATGAAGATCTCAATGAAGTAGCCAAGCTCTTCAACATTCATGAAGACTGAAGCCTCACGTCGGGCAGGCGGCCAGGCGAGCGGGCCAGTGCCTCGCCCACTGTCCCTGACAGCGACTAGAATGGGTACGGGAGCCCCTTTTTTTATAGAACCAGTGTCCTCTGTACGTCTGAGTGTGAATGATCAAGCCCTTCATGAATGTTTTCAACCATGTAGTCATATTCTTAATGTTCACTTCTCTAAATAAAGTCAGATTCTTCTAAATGAATGTGTGTTCTCTCTGAAAGGCGGGGGTGAGGAGGAGGAAAGCCCTTACACATTCAGGAACCATTGCCAAGGGTATGGCTCCTCAGCCCCATGGTCCCCACCATGCCCACTTGGCCTCTGGCACCCCCTACCCCTCCAGGGAAGCTCACGACCTCTATGAAGGCTTTGAGCTCCGGCTCGCCCTGGGCCTCCCTGCTGGCAGAGACTTCCTGAGAGCAGTGGGCCTTCTTGTCACAGTCATAGAGCTTAGGATGGGGTCTGGCTCCTACTAGGTGCTTGCTAAACCACTGTGGACAAAGACCCACGTGGGACCCATGTGTCTTTACGTGGAATCAGGGAGCCAGCTAGCTGCTCCATGGGAGAGAGATGACGCTGTCTATTCCCAAACCGCAAGGTTTTGCACTTGGCCCTGTACAGTCATTGTGAGTCCAGGTCCACCTGATGGCAGTGGGTTGGGTCAGGTTGGGTTTGCCACTCTTGGCTGGGGCCTCTTGTCCCACAGGGTTGAGGGGTGGCTGGAGACAGCAGACTACACTAGCCTGGAGTGGGGCCAAGCCCAGAGGTCCACCCTTTATGAGATCCCAATGAGTGACTCCCCTGTCCGCTGTCTCCCAAACTAGCTGTCGCCCCTCCCCTAACTCCTTGCATCTAAATCACAAGAAAGGCACCCGGGCTTTACAGATGGTGTCCCAGGTGAGGAAGACTGCAGTGCCGATCACGTCTCAGCTTGTGCATTTTTGATCACTGAGGAGTTTCCAAATCCAGTCGCATTTCAGAGGAAACGTTTACAACTTTCAAGAGCCCTATGATTAATCTTTTGATAAATGATTCCCAGCCAGTGGTGGGGGTGGGGGCCGGATTTGTTTTGGTTTTCCTACTGGGTTTGTTTAAAGGGAGTTGCCAGCTAGCCAATGACTGTCCTTCCTCATACGAGGGGAACCGGCTGCTCGCCACGCTGCAGGTTCTGACTGTGGACAGTTAGGAGGGTCCAGTCTGGTGCACACTAACAGCCAACTCCTCTAGCAGAGACTCCACTGCCGCCAACACAGAGACCCCGGCGTGTCCCACAAGGCGTTTTTAAAAAGATGCAGTTGGCCCCGTGTGAGTGTGCACCTGGGCTGAATTCTTTAACAGTTGTCCTTGTGGACAGGTCAGCAATACCACAAGGGAGGTGCCATCACACCTGGTTCACAGCCATCTTTAAATGTCTATCCACTCATCTTTCACGGCCCAGTGCTTGCTGCATTGCGATGGTGTCATACCCGTTGGACAAGGCCCCATGATGACCTCTCTGAACTCCAGTTGCACTCAATGTCAGGGAACATAGCTGTCTTTCCATTCGTTCTCTGGACATGTGTGTTTCTGGCAACAACAACCCCCACCCTCTTCTGCCAAAACCCTGGCAAAGTACTGAACAAGTCCTTGGTTGGTGGTGGGATGATGCTTCCTATACAAATGAGCTTTCATTTTGAAAGCTCTATTCTCTGATGTTCAGGCTGTTTGTGGGAGGACACCCCTACCCCCACCACATGCCACTTAGTCCTGGAGGCTGAATGTTTGGTCAGGCCAGCAGGTAACGTTTCTGCCTACACAGAGGAGCAGCTGGGCCACCCCACAGGCACTTCACAACCGGTCACACCCTGAAAGGACGCGCTGGGGCTTTGCCCAAATCGCCAGCATTTGTAGCCCACCCACTTGTCCCCAGCCGAGCTTTTCCTTGCCACGTTACAAGCGGTTTAAGGTTAGCACCCTGACACCACTTCTTAACAGTCCTGGAGTTTTCTGGTCACCTGGGAGACACACTGGGAGGTGCCGGCCTGGAGAGATGGAGCCGAGGGAAGGAAAGAGGTCAGCTTAAGCCTCTGCGTGGCCGATGAGGTCAATATACGTGATTTGATTCAAATCAACAGGGCCTGTTTGGGAGACTAGAGGCTGAGAGCAGAAAGGGGCGGGGTAGGGGAATGCACAGTGACCTAAGGCAGCCCATTTCCTTGAAGGAAAACCAGCAGCTTCTCAAGAGACCCATTTATACAAAACAACTCTCCCTTCCCTTCCACCCCAACCCCTTCCCCTTCCCGCTCCTCTGGAGTTTGGCGTTCCCTGCCTCCACCTAGAGCTCAGTCAGCCCCCACCCCCCACCCCACCAACTGCCTTTCTGGACAGATGGGCCAGCCTGCTGGGCCCCTGAGTCAAAGTGGAACCGCCTCTGGCCTCTTTTCCCATCTTATCAGGGAACTGCTGGCGACCACAGACACATGTACACAAAACCACACACAGATACACACTAGTCCAAGCCAGTGATGACGTGCTCCTGCCTGGCTGGTTCCACATGGGTGTGACTGGGTCAGAGTACAGGGAGGGTCTGAATATTTAGATACTGGACAGCCAAGCCCAAGCTGGAAAGCAGGGATCATCTCAAAATGGACATGTTGCGAAGGAGAGAGGCAGCCCCTGCCATCCGGAAGTTGGCCTGGTGTCGCTACAAACTCACCAGCCCTCGCAGCTAGGTCTTGGCATTCTGTAGATGATAAACAGATTCGGAGGACATGATCATCCTACGAGGACATTCTGTGACCATGTTAGATCAAGACGGAACAAGGCCACTGCATAATCCTGTGTAAACACAGATGAAAACATGAGTCTTACCCAAGCCACAGAAATGGCCACATCCGTCGCCTGCTGGCCCCCCGCCCCGCCCCCCCAATCACTGCTAATATCAGTGACTGCTTCTCACTTTTAGCTTTGGTCTAGTCCAGTATTTCCAAAAGTGGGTGATACTGGCCCCCTGGGAGGAGCTGGAATGATCCTGGGGGTTGCAAAAGCAGATATCTACACTTTCTCTTGGATGATGGACAAAAATCTTTCATTATTAAGGTGGATACTGGGTATTTTTCTTTTTTCTCTTTTTTCTGAAAAGGGGGCGGTAGACCGAATAAGTGTGGGAACTCATGGTCTAGTCTTCCTGCCTACTAGATAAGGTTTATTGAGTCAGATATTCAGAGAATTATCCCTGCTTCATCACCTCCTCTCCCAAATCACCCAACATGAGCCCGACTCCTCCAAGTCCTTTCACTCTGCCCTGTGGTGGGTGTTCTCCCTCGCTGCACCCAGAGATAAACCCAATTTGTTCAAGGACGAGGGTGTCCTGGAGGGTATTGACAATTTGGAGACAAATAGCCCAAGTATCTCCTGGAGTCCTGCTGTCCCAGCGAATCTGTCCTAGTTCCAGTTGAAGCTCTAGGTTCTGTGTCTGAATCCGTGAAGGCCCAGGAGGCCTTGCTGGTGTCGGCAGACAGAGGTGCCGGATTTCCCAGGCAAGGTCCCACCCAGGACATCGTGACAGGGGCAGGGGAACATATACAGCAGAACCAAACACCTCCTGCTCCCCACCCTCTCGACACACACACACACACACACACACACACACACACACACACACACACACACCCTTGCAATCATTCAGATGCCTGAGCCCATCGTTAACAGCTACTGTGTCAACCCATCTCCTTGAGGGGCTTCCTCTCTTTCACTGCCCCTCCACTTTATGATGTCCTTCTCCAGGCCAAAGTCCTACACAAAATAGGATCCTATGTACCTGTGCTGCAAATAGGAGTGTACTCGGGTATACTGTAGAGCATGCAGCGGACAAAGTTATGCAAACCTTTTAGCTGAAACCAAACTGGTCCTGGAGCTTGAGGGCGAGCAGCTATAGCCTCAGGGACATCTAGGTCAAATGGCGTGACACAGGCAATGCTCTACATCCCACTTTGGTGACTAGTGACAAGGGTCTTAAAAGCTCGGGAGCACAGCTATGAGACTCTTTCAATTAGAGCAAGGAGCCCTGGTGGCACAGTGGTTAGGTGCTGGGCTGTGATCCACAAGGTCCGAGGTTGGAAATCACCAACTGCTCCGAGCACGACAGGTCTTTCTACTTGGATCAAGAGTTCCAGTCTCCAAGACTCACAGGGGCAGTTCTACTCTGTCCTACAGGACTGCTATGAGTTGGCATGGACTCAATGGCCGTGATTGTGGTCATTGCTTTAGAGCAGGGGTGGCAAAGCTTAGAGATGGAAGAGCGAGTCCTGCCCCTCACAACAATTTAAAAATCATTCCGGAGCCATAAATGTTTTTGTTTTTACAAACAAATGAAACCACCACGACCTGAATAAGATCCTTGAACAAATTTCAATTTCCCTTCAGAACCACGTGGACGTTCTGCAAGAGCAGCATAACGGCTCGTGAGCCACAGTTTGCCAAACCCCATCTAGAGCAAAGCAGAGGCAGACTAACCCTCAGCTCCTATGTGTGAAAAAGTCTCTCAAGGCACACACAGGACTTTTTGCAACTTTCCACGACCTCAGTTACTTCTTATCCCTAAGGTCTAGAGCAGATGGTGGAAGCCAAAGCACTTGGCAAATGTGTCCCTACCAGGTCGCTGCTGTCCTCTAGAGTAAACAGGATTTCCAGGTGTGTTTTTGTTTATAGTTTACGAGATGGCATAGCAAATGACAACTGGACCCACGTTTCCCTAGAAACTGCACCTGGTCTTAGTGCCTGCCCACAGAGAAAGGGCCAGCCTCAAAACTGGGCCCGAGAAAAAGTGGTGACCCGTTTCCCCCTAGAAGGTTCTCTTCAAACCTACAATGTCTTCAACCGCAGACTCGATACATCCATTTTGTGACTCTCAGTTCCCAACAGAGGAGCCCTAGGAGCATAGCGGATTTCAAATTTGGTTGCTAACCCAAGGAAAAGATTAACAGCCTTGGAAGCCTACAGGAGCAGTTCAACTCTGTCCTATAGGGTTGCTGAATCTCCTCAATGACAGTGAGTTCGGATTAGTATTTAATGGTTGTTAGGTGCCATTGAGTCATTTCAGACCCATCGCAACCCTAGGCACAATAGGATAAAACACTGTCTGGTCCTGCACCATCCTCACGATGGTTCCTACTCCTGAGCCCATTATTAGTCCCCAGCAAAGACATCCTACAGAGCTGATG